TGTTAAAAGGAACATAATTACACAAGTTTTTCAAGGCATACCTACATTTGCACAGTTGTATTCAGACCACAGAAGTGAAGTTAACATACACTGTTCTGTTTGCTTATTTGGACCTTAATCTTCTGTTTAGTCAAATAAAAACTCTGTAGCTATCTGAAAACTGATCTGCACTGTAAGAAGGTGGAACAAGCATTTTATGTTTATGAAGTTTTTTAACTTGTATAATAAATTTGTAAGTATTTTGCAGGAAAAAAGAAATTCTTTTCAGCATTAATAATAGAGGAACCAGTATTAGTTTAGCTTAGATTGCCCTAATGACCAGAATTTATGAATTTAAATGTCAGGCTTTTAAATGGGTATGTAAGTGCCTATGACAAATGATTTGAAGTAGGTGCCGCATCATGGATTTAATACTGACTGCAGCAACGTGATAGAAAATACTAATGTGGTTTCATAGGTGACTGAGATGAAATACACCTTAGACCATATTAATCTATCGTGCTATAATCATACAGCAGTTACCAGACGAACTGTGATGTTAGTGTGAATTTCACAGTGGTTGCTGCAAAAATGAAACTTCTTTCTATTGAAATTTTGCACTTGCAGTGTCAGTTTGACCTGTTTGTTTTTTCCTCTACAGTTTCCTACAGAAAGTTATACTGCACTGGTCCTACTTACACTCAGATGTGAACTGGACTGCAATACTTTATTCTTTAACATAAGCTTTCTCTCTCTTTTCATGGTGTCCCCTAATGTTTGACTCAAATTTGTTAATCAGTCTGATTGATATGGCTATATACAAACCAAACAGCTATTGCTTGTGTAATGTTTTATGGGAAGTACTCATCAAAAGAAATACACAATGAATTCAAAATCAGATATAACTTGGTGTTATCATCTAGTGCTTCACAACATCACTTTAACTAAAATAGTCCCCAATAGTTAGTCAGAATCTCTCTTTTTTCACTGACTCCAGTAATAGTCATGTTAAAGCTTAAAATATTGGTGCTCTAAATTCAGCTGTTCTTGAGGGAGGAAAAAAAAACCAACTAATCTGCACCTACTTCAAAGTGCACCTAGCATTTTGTCATTCTGATTTAAAAAATAATCTGTACCAGCTAACAGAAATATTGACATTGGTCAGTGTAAACTGGTTTGTGATTCACAGCTAAGCTGTTCAGACCAGGACATATCTTTGAAAAGTTTATATTAACATTGAAAATTTAGGCCTCCATGGCAGCTTGGTGTCACCACTGTGTTTGTGGTTTAGGGACCTAAGTTTCGTAACAGCTTGATTTTCTTGCTGCTTATTCTACATACCTTAAGTGTTCTTTTTTATTATTTAATTTTTTTTCTTTAACGTAAGGGACAGTGGATTGTTGTGAAGGAGGACAGTTGGATTTATGTAAATACTTACAACTCCCTGAACAATATTGATGTATTGGGAGTTTTTGGCTGTTTAGCTTTGGTGCAAAGAGAATGTTTTTCTAAGTTATGAAATGTCTGAAAATTTTGACTGGGCAAGAGATGACAAACATCTCTTGTTCTTAAGGTGCTGGCAAGGAAAAGAAAAAAAAATGTATTTGCATTTCTGTTGTCTTTATGTCACTACCTTTTGTGAACAAAGCACATTTATTAAAAAAAAAAACCAAAACTGAAGATTTCAGAGTATTTTTACTTTTCCTTCTGCAGTCAGTTTATGCTATTTATTTTCAATAAAACAGCTGCATTTATTTTATGCCCAAATTACAGTGAAGATGTTAGATTTACTGCTTCAGCTCAGTTGTGGTCTTTGCTTTATAGAAGGAGTTTTAAAGTTCCTCCAGTCCATCTCCTATTTCTTCACTTGCCTGCTTACAACATGACTCACTTGCTAATGCAGATCTTACCACTCTAGATGTTGTTAATTTCCCCTTTATCTTTCTGAAATATATCTTTTCAGCACCTGTTGCCCTTTGGTATCATTCCTGTATTCCTTTATATGATGGTTTTGAGACTGAAGGTGTGGGGAAAGGATGGCAATGGGAAAAGCAACCTAAAGAATATAAAATGCAAGTCTTGCAAGACTGGAGGAAAATTAAATTTCAGTAGAGCTGGAGTGTCCCCCTAGTCCTGTAGAGCTTAGCTGGTGTATTTCATCCTTTGCAGAATGGTAGGGGTTGGAAGGGATCTCTGGGGATCATCAGTCTACCCCCTGAGCTAAAACAGGTTCCCTACAGTAGGTTGGATGGGAAAGCATCCAGGTGGGTTTTGAATATTTGCAGAGAAGAAGACTCCATAGCCTCTCTGGCAGCTTGTTCAATGCTCTGTCACCTGAGAGTGAAGATTAGAAAGCATGGTTTCACAGCTGTTATGAGTATTGCATCTTGCAGAATCTTCCTGTCTCAGAGACTTGCTGATTTGCCTTTGAAAGTGATTATTAAAAGTGCTTTTCATCACAACTCCATTGATCCACAGCGCACCCTGGATTCTGTGCAAAGTTGGGTATTTTAAGTTACTGCTCCTTTTTCCTCACCTGTGGAATGGGGGGAAGTTTTCTAGAAGCTTCTAGCTAGCATGCACGGATGCTTGGATTTTTTTCTTGTATTTTAAGTAAACCATCCTTTCAGAAGTCTACAAATAGTTGCTCGAAGAGCAAAATCACAGTTGAAAAAGTGTCAACTCAGTGCTGTCATTGCTAAAGCATCTGAAGCACATGACTTCGTGGCTTTTAAAACATTGTGAAAAAGAAGTAGGCCAATTGGCCAGTTTTATTGAAATTTGGAAGAGAGGTAAGGATGGCAGAGGTGACTGAGGCTCCTGTGCAGAAAAGGGAGGATGACAGCTGGAGCTCCTTGAGCGTGCAGCTGTTGCCTTTCAGCAACGTTGCTTTTCGACTGCCGGTGGTGTTGCGATGGATTGCAGGACAATTCAAAGAGCCGCTGTATGTCAGCTGTCTGAACTTCAAACTCTTTTATTATTTCGTGCGCGTAAGCAGTGGAGCTATTAAGATCCTGAAACTTCCTCCTCTTACCCACTCGACTGCGCTGTGCAGTGCAGCGAGACACGGACGTTATCCTGCATAACGTCAGGGTGGCTCTGAATCCCGTCCTTGCAGAATGCGGCTGCCAGCAAATGACGGGGAGGCAGGAGCGGCGCGGCTGGCCGCGTCGTGCCTCAGGCACAGCCTCTTTCTGCTCCGAACACAGGCGGACGTGGCGCGCCTTTGCTTTTCGTTCCCCGCTCCGTCAGCGCTGCACTCTGTGCGCCTGTGGAACGGCGAACGCGCCATCACTCCCGCGTATCCACTGCCTGCCGAATTCCCCTGGCAGGAGGCGGCCGGGGGAACGCGGCATGCCCCTCCCCGGCGGCTGCAGCTCGCTTCGCCGCGAGGACCGCGCCGGGCTTGCAGGCAGCGGCCCGCTCCTGGCGCGGCCAACGGGAGCGCATCTCTCCCGCCGTCCCCGCCTCGCTTTCATTCTCAGCTGCTGTCGTTGCCCTCGGCGCTTCCCTTCCGCCCGGCTCCTCGGAGCGCCGCGCCGTCCTCCCGCAGCCGGGCGCCCCCACCGCCAGCACCCCGTAAGGCAGCTCTCCGAGCCCCGCGGCGCCGAGCGGGCGCAGGCCCGGCTCTTCCGCCGCCGCCGCGGTTTGGGCCCCGGCGCTGCCCGTAGCCGCGGCCTCAGCCTCAAGATGGCGGCGGCGCGGCGCGGGAGGAAGTTGGCGGGGCGCCTGTTGAGGTGAGTGCGGGACGGGACGAGAGGCTTCGCGGGGCCGAGGGTTCCCCGGAGGAAAGCACCGGGGCGCAGCCCCCTGCACGAAGCGGCTGTCGCGCATCAGGGCGCGGCGGGCTCCTGTGCCAGCGGCAGCAGCAGCGCCTGGCTCGGCGTTGCACGGCGGGTGCCCCCGACACGGCTCCGGGCAGCCGGTGGGGCCTGCCGGCCGGGCTGCGCTCCGTGCTGCCGCTTGAGGACGAACGGAATCGTTACTCTGAGGTTGGAACCTGTTCCAACGTTAGCGCGTTGACTGAGCGGTATTTTTCTTGCTGAAAGTCGCTTTTGCTACAAATGCTCGCAGAACTGGAAGAATGTGGCAGGAGGTGGGGTCCGGTAACAGGCTTTGGGAATCCAGCGTAGATGGGCCTTGCCCAGCCTTGAAACCAACGAACCGCCCTTGTGCTACTTTGGGTGTAGTTTGGGTTTTTTTCTGCCTGTGCAAATGGTGGTACAAACTGCCTTGGGAGCACTGTGCCTTTTTATGCAGAAAAGCTCCTGCAGAGTTGAGTGTTCAAATCTGTTTGCAGGCTCCAGGCTCTTGCAGCCGTAAGTCTGCAAAATTCAAAGAGTGCTTAGAAAGAAATGTACACATTCTGTTTTACTCAGTATCGAGTTTGATTTGATCAGCTGTTCAACTCGGAAGTGCCAGCTTGAAACACAGATGCCGTTTGAGGTAAAAGACAAACTTTGAACTGTCCTTTGTTCCAAGTTTAACCACAAATGAGTGACAAAAGCAGCAGATAGTTATATTTTGAAGAATAAATCTAATATAGGAATTCCCCATTGGATTTGCTGTGTTACAGTGTCTTGGTAAAATCTGTGTATCTGTGTACATAAATCGCAAAAATAAGGCTTTTTATTCTTTTAACCAAAATGTTGGCTGTGCGTTTTGATTAGAACATTGGTGTCTAATAGAATGTTTTCTTAGTGGACATTTTTGCTAATCCAGTAGAAAATCAGGAAGAGAAGGCTGGATTCAGGGTCTGGGCTGCCAGAATGCTGCTGTGCTGCAGGTAACTCAGCACTTGAACCAGCTCTGTGTTTTCTGCTATCGACATGCCCACGCAGACACCTTGACGCCAGTAGCAGCAGTTTCTGTTTCATGTTTCTCATGATGTGATGACAACAAAACTCAGCTCAACGTGTGCTCAGCCAGATAGAGAGGCTTGCTGTGGGGGAGTTTGTTGTGTAACAGCCTACGAAAAGTGATTTAGCAGCAGTGGCAGAATTTGAAGCCAGGCATTGTGTGGAAGCTCACGCATTTTGTGTGTGGGACAAACCAATGCCTTGTATGAAGCTGTTGTCTGAATGAATACCTCCAGCATTAATCCTTGTCTTGGAGGATGCCAGGAAGGTTCCATGACAGCAGGACAGCACGTGCAGCTCTGCGTAGCAACCATCAGACATCAGTGCTGAGAGTTGGAAGAGAATGTGAAATGATTCCTCTGTGTTTGTGGCTCGAATGAGGGCTAACTGGGAGCTTTGTGTGGAGGAAGAGAGTATGTGGAAGTTTAATAGATGGCTCAAGTGGTCTCCAAAGCGAATGTTGGTTGTGTTACAAGAATACAGGAGTAAGCACAGAGCTGTAATACCTGATAAGTTGTCACCAAGAACATGATAGCTAACTTTGGGCTGTGCGAGCTATGTAGAGAACAAGTGAAGTGCTTAGAGGCACCTGTATTACTGGGTGAGGGGCAAAATATTACGAGATCCTAAGTGTTCAGACAGTTATCAATTCAGTTTATATATATAAATCATTAATGAGTACTGTGAAAGGCATTGCTGAAATCCAGAGAACTCACAGAGCATCATGTAATAGCCATCCCTTGTGAGTAGGTTGTGTGTATTCTGTTTCAATTAAACAGATTTTTAATGCACAATTCTTTCCAAGTAATATCTGCAGTGTACCTTAGGTGAATTGAAAATGTTACCAATCTTAAGTAATTTAAAAAATAGGAATCCTTAGGCTCAGCTTGTCACTAAGCCAGTTACTTAAGGTGGTTTGATATTGCATATCAGTCTTTGGGGCAACCAAAACGTGTAGGCCAGTCAATCCCTCATTTCTGTTCTTGGTGCATTTAAAGAAACTGGAACATAAAACTGAAGAGAGAATGTGACCTTAAGGTAGGAATTTCAGTCAAAGTGTTCTCTAATGTTTCTCCTAATAAATAAATACAGTGAAATACAGACGTTGATGGAAATAGAAACAGAAGTTCTCAAAGGAGTTCTCATTATGAAAATTAATGGTATTGTTTGTATGTAAACTTGGTAAGATTAGACACCCATAGGATTGCAGTAGTCCTCATGTTTCAAAATTGAGTTCAGACCGGGAAGAAGCATATCCTGTAAAATATTGATGATCTCTAGTGAGATCTCCATAGATCTCACCTAAAATATGACTGTGTGTTCTGGGCTGAATTGGAAACAAGGAAGGTGATTATTCCCCTCTACTCTGCCATCATGAGGCCCTATCTGAAATACTGTGCCCAGGTCTGGGGTCCCCAGCATTCAGAAGATGTGGAACTGTGGGAGCATGTTCAGAGGAAGCCACAAAGGTGGTCAGAGGGCTGGAGCACCTCTGCTACGGTGAGTTGGGCTTGTTCTGGCTGCGGAAGAGAACATCGGGGAGATTTCATTGTGGCCTTCCAGAGCTCACAAGGAGCTTATAAATAGGAGGGAGACAGACTTCTTAGATGGTTTGATAATTATAGGATGAAGGGGAATGGTTTTAAACCGAAAGAGGGGAGATTTAGATTAGATGTTAGAGAAAGTTTTTTCACTGAGGTTGCCCTGGGAAGTTGTGGATGCCCCATCCTTGGAGGTTTTCAAGTCCAGATTAGATGAGGCCCTAGGTAGTCTGTGATCCATTGAGTAGCAACCCTGCCCACAGCAGGAGGTTGGAACTAGCTGGTCTTTCAGGGCCTTCCAACCTCAGCAATTCTATGATTTTGTATGGAAAAGAAAACCACAGCAGTTAAATGGGTCTGGGTAGGAAGAGTTTACATTTTAAATATAATGTTTATCTTGATTATTTTGTTTTTGTTGTTTGTTTCATGGGGAAATATGTCTCAGAGGTAAAACTGAAGGCACTGAGATTGTTTAAAAAAAAAAAAAAAAAGGCTGAATTTTATCTCTGAATACAGTGAGTGCCAAATCGGTTGATAAATGATATCACCATTCCTCTTCTGAGAAGTGGAGATGATGATAATTGCCTTTTTTGTGATCTATTTTGGGCTGAAGGTTGTTAACTGATGGTGAAGTTTTTTTTGTAAACTCTGTAGCTACTTGACTGGTAAAAGGAAGACTTGCAAAACATATTGAGAAGGTTTGGTATAAAGGCAGAACTTAAAAATGTGAAGTAAAGTAGAACAAATGTGAAGTAAAACAATGCTTTAAAGCAATAGTGAAATGTTTTGTAAGGTAATGGATAAAACAGAAATGCTTTGGATACACTTAGATATCCAATACAAATACCCAGTGGATGGTTCGCATGGCAAAGCTGCACAGGCCAAGTTTGGTTTAAATTTTTCTTGTTCAAATTATGAAATAAGATCTATGTGAAAACAGTTTGATGTATTAATGATGAAATAAATTTGAATCACCTTTAAAAACACACTTGTCTTGTATTCATTTTGTATTTCAGATGTTAAATGGATGTGTTGTGTTTATGTTGTATACTGTTAAAGAGAGTTAATTGCCACTAACATTTTTAAAAATTTCCCTTCCAGGCACTTCAATGATTCTGGACCACTGTTGCTGAAATGATACTACAAAAAGCAGTTGTCACACTGAATTTGTTGGATGAAACCCCAATATTTTCTTTCACTCAAGTGGGTAAAAACCCCTAACTGCAGTTTACATGTGTGGGTCAATACGTTACTGCTTTAGTCATTGTCTCTATGCAGCAATGACAAGGCTGGAAGAAGCAAACAGAGAAGTGAACATGCATTCGTCAGTCAGATATCTTGGCTATCTTGCCAGAATCGACTTGCTGGTTGCCGTTTGTATGGGCCTTTATGTCAGGTGGGAAAAAACTGCAGATGCACTGATTTTGGTAATATTTATTCTTGGACTGTTTGTTCTTGGAATTGCCAGCATACTGTACTACTATTTTTCAATGGAAACAGCAAGTTTGAGTCTCTCCAATCTTTGGTTTGGTTTTTTGCTTGGCCTTCTCTGTTTTCTCAATAATTCTGCCTTCAAAAATGATGTGAAAGAAGAAGCTACTAAATATCTACTCCTTTCTGCCATTGTTTTGAGGGTACTGTGTTCTTTGGTTGAGAGGATTTGTGGATGTATCCATCATCGACCGACTCTGCTGACAACAGTTGAATTTTTGGAGCTAGTTGGATTTGCAATTGCCAGCACAACTATGCTGGTAGAAAAATCTATGAGTATTATTCTGTTGGTTATAGCTTTGGCCATGCTGATTATTGACTTACGTATGAAGTCTTTTTTGGCAATTCCAAATTTGGCCATTTTTGGAGCCATTGCATCCTTACTCTTTTTTCCATCACTGCAAATTCCCACAAACCCTTTTGCCTTGGCCTGTTTCTTCAGCTGCCTGATTTCGGATCCCCTTCTCGATGTCTACTTCAGTGGACTTTCAGTTACAGAACGATGGAAGCCCTACCTGTACCGTGGTAAAATCTGCAGAAGGCTTTCTGTCGTCTCAGTGGGAGTCATTGAACTAATCTTTTTCATTCTTGCTGCCTTCAAGCTACGGTATTTGGATCTCTGGTACTTTGTGATACCTGGCTTTTCTATCTTTGGTATTTTTTGGATGATCTGTCACGTGATCTTTTTTATAACTCTTTGGGGATTTCACACAAAGTTAAATGACTGTCATAAAGTGTACTATACCCACTGTGCAGAAAACAACAGCCTTGACAGAGTTATGGCATCTAAAGGAATGCGTCACTTCTGTTTGATTTCAAAACAGCTAGTATTTTTCAGCCTTCTCGCAACTGCTGTTTTGGGGGCAGTTTCTTGGCAAGTAAGTAATAATCTCTTTATTTTGATCTCCCTCTTGAGAATGTCCCTGAGAATTACTGGCTTCTTAAAATTCTTGTGACATTTGGTGGTGTATCGTGTCATCAAAGCTTAGCGATTCAGAGTTGGAACCTTTGGCTTCAAAAGCTTCCTCTTCTGATTTAACGCTTTGTGTTGCCTTGACTGTGGCTAATGAAGGCAACTGGAAATTCTTCATGGCCAGAATGGGAAGTTCCAATCATGTTTCCAGGGTAAAAGAAGTGTGAAAAGTATTTTAAATTTACCCACTTAGAAGATTATTTTGACTCCAAATTACTCGTGCCACAAAATTTGTTCTAAAACTGAATCACTGCATCAGCTCCCACTAACACACACCATATTGAGGACTTTATTTTATGGACTGTTTTAATAGAATCAAGGCAGACCTTTGTTTTTAGAGTGCATTTTTCAGTGGTTTTGCTTGGTATTTAAACATTAATGGGAAGTCAGGAGTCTGACAAACCAGCAGATGGTTGGTGTGAGTGCTCTCAGTGGCTTACATTCAAATCTGTACATATCTCAGAAAGACCAGTTCGTAAAATCACAGTGTTCTTAAGACTTGTGGTGTTTTTTTTCCCCACTTAGGACCTGTGTGATTTCTTTATCAGAAAACATACATTCCTCTCGAAATGCTTGTTCAGTGTCCAAATTAAAGTACATTGCATGTTATCACTGGGGCAGCAGGGCAAAAAGGGAGTTTGGCATCTGCCTTCTTCGGTTGATCTGAAAAGCTTCAACAATCTCTTTTTATGTTCATGCGTCTCTCAAAAGAATTTTATCAATTAGATATTAAAATGCAAAGATCTATCTAGCAATCTAGTATCTAGCAATACAAAATTGCTACATGTAGCAGAAATATCTGTAGTTTCCAGAGATTTCCAAAACAGTTTCTCATTCCTGCAGTTTCTTAGATTTAAATAGCCTCGTGGATTAAAGGTATTACAGAGTTTTTTGAAAAGGCAATTAACAGGTGTTTTGTAGGAGCTGCGGTGGGAGAGGAGGGTAGGGTTTTTGGGTTTGTTTTTATCCTTTGTTAGGAGCACCAGAGGTTAACAGACAAGCTCGCCATAAAGGGCGGGAAGTTTTGCTTTTTCTTGGAGAAGTATTAACGTGTGTCACTACAGTGCCTCAACTTGCGGAAAGGACAAAAGAACCCCAAAAAATTACAGTAGAGAAGAAAATTGCCCAGAATATATTTCTCACATCATCCACCTGGACAAAGCATTTGACACTGTACTACACAGCAGTCTTGTCTCTAATTGGAGAGGTGTGGATGTGATGGATGAATCATTTGGCAGATAAGGAATTGGTTGGATGGTTGAGCTCCCAGATCTGCTGTCAATAGCTTCGTGTCCAGGTGGAGACCTGTTACAAGTGGTGTCGCTCAGAGGTCTGTGTTAGGACCAGCAATATTAAACATCTTGTCAGTGATGCAGACTGTGGGATTCAGTGCACCCTCAGCAAGTTTATGGATGGCACCACACCAAGTGGTGTAATGAAGGTGATGTGCTAGGGGATGCTATGGATGCTATCCACAGGGATATAAACAAGCTCAAGAGAAATGGGCCCATGCAAACAACATGAAGTTAACAAGTCCAAGTGCAGTGTTCTGCACGTGTTGAGGCAATCCCATGCATGAATACAGGCTAGGTGGAGAACAGATTAAGAGCAGCCTGAAGGAGAAGGTCTTGGGGGTGCTGGTTGATGTAGCACTCAACGTGAGCCAGCAGTATGCTCTTGCAGCCCAAAAAGCCAACCATGTCCTGGGCTGCATCAAAAGAGGGGTGACCAGCAGGGCAAAGGAGATGCATGTCCCCCTTCACTCTGCCCTTATGAGCTCCTACCTGCAGTACTGCATTTAGCTCTAGCCTAAGAAGGATGTGGAGCTGCAAGTCCAGAGGAGAGCCAGGAGTGATCAAAAGGCTGGAGCACCTCTCCTATGAAGAGAGGCTGAGAGAGTTGCAGTTATTCAGCTTGGAGAATAGAAATATCCAGAAAGACGTCATTGCAGCCTTCCAGTACTGAAAGGGGGTCTACAGAAAAGAATGGGAGGGACCTTTATCAGAGAGTATAGAGATAGGAGAAGGTGTAACAGCGTTAAACTAAAAGGGGATAGTTTTAGATTAGATGTTGGGAAGTAAATATTTGCTCAAAGGGAGGTGAGGCACTGGCACAGCTGCCCAGAAATGCTGTGGATGCCCCATCCGTGGAGGTGTCCAAGGCCAGGTTGGATGGGGCCCTGGGCAGCCTGAGCTGGTGGGTGCAAGGGGGTTGAGGCAGTGGGGGGGAATGATATGATACTGAATCTCCTTTCAAGCTCAAGCCATTCTCTGGTTGTGTTTATGGAAGGTAAAGGTGCTAATGCACTGAAAGAAATGAAACAATAGATTGGGAGACAAAGCAGTAAATATAGGATATCAGCGTATTAATACTGTTGACTTCCATATTTTTTTTCTTCTGCAAATGATGTGATTTTTATTGAGCAGAATGCAGATCTTTAATTTTGCTGTGCCAGATAACTTCTTTAGTGAAAGCAAATTTCTCACAATCTCTCAAACATTCTTCCTGGTTTCTTTGTCTTCACCCTACTCCTTTAATGTTCTTGGGTTAATAATTACAAAAATGGATTGGCTGGAGTTGCTCCACCTGTTTGTACCCAGCAAAGCAGTCAGAACAGATCAGCTGTACAAGTTGGCCAGGTAGCTGGGGGTGGTGGTTTGTTCTGATAGCTTCCAGTGCCTGTGTGTGGAGCCTTTCAGGGCTGGCTGCCCCCTCCCTACCAATCTGACTGACATGTTACAGCCCTGCTCTCAGGAGGGCTGCTTTGTGAGTGTGGCTTGCCTGCATAAGCAGGGAAGATTGGATTCAAACTCATCCTGTTACTTTCTGCTCTTTGTGCTGATAATTCCATGTCATTTCTTTTTTTTTCCATCCCTGTTGTGCGCCCCCAAAATAACTGCAGCTGTTATTTTGATCATTTTCAGGCCTCTCTAATTCTGGGGAAGTGCTGTTGTGCTTCAGAATGCCTTGTGCAGGACATTTAGCAAGAGGGAAGCTGACAATTCAGCTAAAACCGTATTTGTGGTATTTTTGGTTAAGTTCAGTTTCTAGCATCCTGTGTGTAAATAAGATAAGCTGTCACTCATCACCTCTGTCTGATGGGTTGTGTATTTACCTATTGAGTGGGAAGAGGAGTAATCATAGTGGCAGAAATGAAAGGCATTGGACCACATACTCATCCGGAAATACGTTTCATAATTGTAATTATTTTCAAAGATAATTATGTTGACATTTATTTTACTGTATTTGTGTTTCTTGCATTGTGTATTTACAGTAATGAATTAGTTTAAGATTATGAGTGCAGTTGTCTTCAGCTAAAAGCATTTCTGTCTCAGAGGTGTGATGTTTGCCTCACAGATCACTCTCTGCCTATTTCTTCTGCTGTCAGAAAAGGTGGTGTTTTATCAGACCTGCCAGAGCACAGCTTAATAAATGGATACCTTGGTAGTTACAGAAACTGCAAGAAGCCTTGCCTCTTCTGTATCTGTCTGGGCAATGTCAGTTTTCAAAATAATTAGAAGTAAGAAAGCAATGATATATCAGCATACAATTTATCAGTATAAATTGGGATTTAATATGTTGTGTTCTAGTTTTTAGAAACTGTTGCTCCAAAAGAAGAAAAGAAAAAGAAAACTGCTGATGTTAGTATGTAATAGAAAAAGATTTTAAGGCTGGTAGATGCTTTCCCATGACAGTGTCAGCTTAATGTTTATTAGTGGTCAAAAAAGCAAATTAAATACTGGGAGTTGTTGGGGAAGAACTGGAGGTATTTTTATCCACTGCATAAATACATAGCTTCAGTATTTTCAGTGCAATTCTTAATTGTCACCCACTAGATAAGAGAACAGGAGAAGGTTTGCAGAAGAGTGATGAAATTCATTAGAGATTTGAAACAGGAATGGCTAAATGAGAATGCTTCAGTACGAAAATGAGCTAAGTGGGAATATAAAATACCGTGCGTGTCAGAAAGTAAGTTCCAGTCCAAAAGCAGATGAGAATCAAGTTGGCATGAGACAAGTTTGAGAAGACAGGTAGGATTAGTTCCCTGTACAGTCAGGTTTGCTTGGACTGTATCACAGCACGCACTAAGTGGTCACTGAGGTGCAAGGGGAAACTGGACAAGTTGATGGGGACACATTTCCTGAGGCTTATATTCGTGTTATTTTCTTCTGTCTCAAGCAGGACTGTGGAGGATGGAAGTCCTGTCAGCCAAGGACCTTTCTTTAAGGGAAGTTCAGCCCTTGCAATCAGCCAAGGGCTGTAAGTCTCTGTTTCTGGGACTTTGGTATGTGCTTAGAAAGAACTAAACTGATTCTGTCTCCGACAGATCAAACTTGAAATGTGAAGAGTCAACCTGAAGGATTTGCTCTGGAAGCACAAGAAATGTAAAAGTAATTTGTTAAAGCTGATTGCACTCAAAAATTGAGAAGCAGGTTTTCAGTGGGACGTAATGACATGGTCTGCTTCTGAGAGTAATCCTACTTTTGCTGGAAGGGAAGGACACCTTGACTTGTCAGTAGAAACACGCTGAAATTTTTCTTGGAAAAATCTGCAAGCATTCTTCACTGCCTTTATTTTTCTGTAAATAATTTTAGTCAGATCAATAGCCTCTTTAACTCCAGTAGCACTTACTCATTTCAGCAATTACTCATGTGCCTGTCTGTAATTAGGCTATTGATTGGAACAGAATCCAGCAGAAGACATGCGAATGACTCAGGCATTACTTCTTTCAGATGCTAATAAAATGATGAAAAAATTGCACATGAAGGTCTTGGAATTTGCAAGCAAAGATCTTGGGAAGGTTTGAAGGAATCTTTTTCTAAGAAACTAAAAATCAAATTGTTAAGTGCTGTATGCCAAGGTAAGGGAAGAAGAGTCTGATTTATGTTAATGCATTACTGTCAG